CGGTGGCGCGGACCCCTCCCCCCCCCTCCCGCAGCCTGCTCCGCCCCGGGCTGCCGTGGAGCGGGGCGGCGGGCAGGTGAGGGAGGGGATGGGCTGCTCCCCGCCACCCCAGGGCTGCGTTCCCAACAAGTCGGGTTTCATCTCTTGGACTCGGTTTAAGGATTAGGCTTTAAGCAGGCCTCACTCGTGGACACCTCCCTCCTTTACCCCCCCGCCCCCCGCGGCAAAATGTTATGATTTTTTTTTTTCTTCCCCTAAAATATTGATACTGATCGTCACCCCAATTTCTTTTCCAGTTTTCAGCATGGCAGTGGACTGGCTGGGCTTTGGCTACGCCGCGCTGGTGGCATCGGGAGGGCTCATCGGCTATGCAAAAGCAGGTACGGTGCAGGGAGGTGCTTGTGTTTCCTTCCCTCTGCCCCCCCAGCCCCTCCATAACTCTGTGTGAGCTGGGCGGCTTTTTACAAAAGCCTCCTGTCTCGAAGTTCACGCAGATGTAAAGTTTATCGGTTTGTGCCATGTGCTGATAACTTGCTGCTGTTGGGGTGTGGTGGTTTTTGGGTTGAGCTGGTGCTTTGGGCTGATAAGTCCACAATCTGCTTTCTGGTTATCTTGCCTCTGCGTTGTGCTCTTCCAGTGAATTGACATAAGTTTGCTTCAGAAAGGCTTTTCCCCTGCCGTTTTAAATATAAGCGTTCTATAAATGTTCTGTATCTTCAAATGACATGTCACCATTTTTTTTCCTTAGAGATTTATTCTCATTTTATTGTTTGATGGTAACAGTACACTGCAAGCTGCAGAGTTTTCAGAAGGACCCTTTCTGCAAGTAGAGCTGAACACTGCAAATCAGTCCTTAAACTTGTTCCTCTTCTGGGCTCTGCGTCATAAGCTTACCCTCTGACCTACTGCTTTAATTTCCTGACCTTTTTCTGATCTTGCCCTCCACCGGGCAGAACTGTGGATTCATCCCTGCTGCAATACTGTCTCTTTCAGCTTCAAAAATCCCTAAGCCGTCTTAGTGTTTGTGATACGAAGGTGCATTCCTGAAGTCAGTAAGCATCTTAGCAGCCCATTCGACTACGTAGGTGCTAATGCCTATTCCAGTCTGTTTTCTTTTGGCTTGATTTATCCTTTGGGCTGAGTGGAATGTAGGGCAGGAGGGACAATACTGAGAACTTAAGTAACTAATTGCATCTGTATTTCTTTGAGGCCGTTATGAAATAGTAGGCGTCTGTCTTATCCCCTGGTCCCAGATGGGAGGCCATGGTCATGCTGAGGCAAGGGAATCCAGGTCACAGCATTTTTGAAGGGGGAACAGGAACTTGTAGGATGACTTGTAGGGAAGAAAAAAAAAAAAGAAAAAGCTATCGTATCCCTACTAAGAACTTGGAGAAACCAAAAGAACGTGGAACTGTCATCCATAGAGCTAAGGTGGTGATCTGTTGTTTTACAACCAGGTCTATTTACCGACACAGATAGTGGTCAGTAATAGGTGCCTTGGGAAGAATATGAATGAGAACAGAGCAAGCAAAGAGTGAGTGAGTGATTTTTCTCTCTTTATTTAGTAAGTTTTCTGGGTCCAAGTGTTTTGAGACTGAGGAGCTTGCTGAGCCGGAGGTGGTGTGGTTGTCCTAGTAAGTGTATGTGTCATAGCTGCTTAAACAATGCCTTGAGGTAAAACTCAAGGATACGATGGCCATTTCTTGGCTCCCAGGCTTGTGGAAAGAATTGTAGCCACCCCATGTTGGTTGCTAAACTATTCTGTGCAGAGGAGCCACTTACTATAGTGTGCATCATTTCCTTGCACATGTACAAGAACATCTGGTGCTTTTGTCATCTTTATCTCTTGCTTTTTATACCAAAAGCAGGATCTGAAGCAATGTTACAGCTGCTGTGTTGATGACTGAAGAAAGTATTACTTTCTGGTAGCGGTGTACGATCCTCCTGTAACACCGAGAGGAGATCTTTATCAGCTTAGCTTTGCAATCTCGAGTCTTTTAAAGGTGACCTGAAAAATTGAATATATAAAGAAAACCACCCTCAGTAGCGTTAAGTCCTGAATTCTCCTTTAGCCTTATTGAGGGCATTCACCGCTCACAGTGGTAATGCCACTTCGTTACTTGATGTAATCAATAAATCACCAATTTGGATGTGGTATCTTTTATCTTCTGGTAACTTGGGGTTATCATTTATACTGAGGACTTGATCCAAAGTTTAGGCGAGTCCAGGAAACCTTCTTCCAAAGTCTGCAGTTACCTTTGGATCAGATCTCAGATGTACTTAAGAGATATGAGCTCTCTTATTCGACTCCGCTCTCTTATTTAGCAGCTCTTTATTTGTCTGAACGCCCTCCTGCCCAGTTCAGTCCATGTGTCCTTTTTCTGACCTTAAACCCTTACTACTTAATCCGCCTACTTTACTGCCTCTCAAGAAATTCTGATATTACTGTGTTGAAACGTGCTTCAGTTTGCACAAAGAAAACACCGATTCTTTTGCTTTTTCTGACTATTCTTTCCATCATAAATATATTAATGGCTTTGCTGTTAAAGAATTAAATACTAACGCTATTTGTATCTTATGCAAGAGTATGTGAACGTGTTTCTTCGTGCAGATCAGCATAGTCTTAATATCTTAAAAGGAAAAAAAACCTCACTAATCTGCTTTATAACAATGAATGCCCATCTTTTTTTTGTTATTGTTGGTGTTTTACAAAACAGATAGCTAGTGAGCAAATTTATTTCTAAGCTTCTAATAAATGCATTGTCTTTTACTTACTCAGGTAGTGTCCCGTCACTAGCTGCTGGCCTTTTCTTTGGGAGTTTGGCTGGACTGGGTGCCTATCAGCTTTCACAGAATCCAAATAATATTTGGATTTCTCTGAGTAAGTCGTTTACAATTTTAATTAGAAGGGATTATATTTACCCTGTTTACCACTTTTTACTTGATGCTACTACTTCTCTCTGTTCTGTTAGTTTTGAATTGTAGCATCTCTGTCACACACGTGCATCTTTGCTGACTGGCCTGTATAATCTCTCATTTAAGTTACATCTGGAACACTGACAGCTGTCATGGGAACAAGATTTTACAACTCTGGAAAATTCATGCCTGCGGGGCTAATTGCTGGTGTCAGGTACAACACAATATACTTTTTTTTTTTTTTTAACCTCCTATGTGTGGTTTTTTTCTTTGCTTAATTAAACTGAGATAGAGTGAATCATATTTTGTGTATCTTTTTTGTTTCCATGCACCAGTTATGTGGAAAGTATTTGGAAATTAATTGACAAATTATTATTATTGTTTAATTCTGTGTTTTTCCCCTTTATACAGTTTGCTAATGGTTGGAAGATTAGCACTGAAGATGGTGGAAAAGCCCCACGATAAGTAACTGTTCATTTTACAGTTTAATATCTCGGTAAGGAAACCTGATAATGAAGTTGCATGAGTGCCGAAGCAAGAAGATGGATCAATTTTCTATATCAGGACAGTTTTTGTCCTTTTTTTATGTAAGGGGGAGTAGAATGATGGGACAGATAGTTTACATACAAGGTGCCATTTGTTTCAGTGATCTGGTAGAGCTATTATTGCAGAGTGAGAAACTGGTCCTGGGTTTGATTTTTCCAGACACATTTCAGCGTGTTTGGACACTTCTAGTTTTTTATATTCCGAAATACACTGCTGACATGTGTGAAGCAGAGAGCACCTGTAATTAAGAAAGTGTCCACAAAGAGGCACCAGGAGTAACTGGCTAAATACAGCATTGTATCTCATACCTCTTGTACCGAGTATTACAGTATGCTTTACCTGTTGCATTCTGAGTTGATACACCTTGTCTGCCTAACACCGAACAGATCTTACCTTTTTATTGTGAAATGATGCTAAAATACGGCTTTCCTACAAGTAAAATCTGTTATAAACCTTTATTTGGCATGGTTTTGTATCCTTTCGGGGGGGTAGGGGTTTGGGGTGGTTTTGTACCTTCTTGTTTTCTTCTCAGTGGAAGTCTTTGCAGTGAACTGCTGGTATCCAAGTGCTGTCTTTCAATGATGGTTAAAATTCACTTTTTAAATGGAGGGGCAGGAGATTAAATTAGGGGCCTTCATTAACACGGCATTAAAACAGTTGTTGGAGAGGAACTTACCGTGGATTAATTAAGCGAGATCTGTGCTAGGTTAAATGAACAGTTAAATATGATCTGGCCAAGGGACTGTACAACTAGAATAAAATAGCTTAACATTAACGCTACGGAATTCTGATCTTACAGGCTTATTTGACAACAGAATGTATCAGCATTTCATTTTTATCACTTAGGGAAGTGGCTATGCCTCTTGACATCTGTCTTTACTAGGAAGCCTTGGAGTCAGGAGGGTTCCTGGTTCTGCCATGGTGCCTGAGGGGACTGAAGTGTGGAAGAAGCATCAGTGGCATCTGGTGCCTTTGTGGACACTCCAGTCTTGATCGCTTCTCCTGGGCTCAGTCTCCCGGCTCTGTCAGCGCAGGCACAGCTAACTTGGGCTAAGCACCGTGGTGGAAGAGCGAGAGACAAGAAATGTGTGAAAGAAAATCCTTTATCAACTTACTCTTCAGTGATATATGATTACTGATAAACTAGGATTCTTACAGAGAGTAACTCATATTTTAAAGTGATGTTTTATGTAGTGACTATTTAAGATTTTACTTTGGGACCTCTATATCGTTGATTATATCAAAACTTTGTCAACTGCATAACATATAATTTTGGCAAAGCAGATTTAAATTAACTTACGTCTTAACTCACTTCCCATTTTGTAGTGCTTCAAGGAATTTGTAACAATTCCCTCAAACTGCATAAAGCAAATGCTAAACTACATAATCACTCCGTCTCGCTGGGGACTGCAAAGCTTGCGTTTCCTGTTCTGAAAATGGCATTTAATAGTATTGAGCCAGAATGGCATTTCCATTGTCGTGAATCAACGGAAACCCATGTGGTAGTAGACTGAAAGTTGTCGTAGTAGAAAGTAGTAATTACAAGCAGATCTATAGATGTTGGGCCAATTGTGCTGTGTGTTACCAATTCTCTTAGCAAAAGTTATAAAATTAATTCCAGGTTTTTGAACGTATTCTGTATTGTAACCTCTCTTGTTTCCAGGCACTTAATCCATAAATAACCGGATCTGTACAGGATGGATCTGCAGGGAGCAACACTAAAAACATGTAAAAGCATGTCTGAAATTCTAGTCTCAGTTAAATCATAGTCTCTTTTGACCATGCTGTAAGCAAAATCCAACAGAAGTTTTGTAATTACCTTTATATATTTTAAATTGCCCTATGCAATTGAATAGAAGATTTCATCCCTGCTATAGAATTTCTGGAGCCATTCAAGAATTAAAGATGTTAATGTCCTTTCTCCAGACTGCCTGTGCTTTTAGGCTGATTGTTAGATAATCCTACAAGTTTTTCTTTCCTGTTTTTATTGTGTAGGTTTTGGTGGTTTTTTTCCACCAAGATGGTCTCTATGTAAATCGAGATTATTACTTTTGCATCAAATTCGCGGTGGCCATGCCATGGCTTCAGTGAAACTTCGTGCTATGAGTCAGCTTGTGTGTGGACGTAACGTTTTTTTTTTTTGATTTAGTTATTTTTAGGAAATGAACGGTTAAAATAATTCTTAAATTAAGGCTCCTCTGTTCAAAGCACACTCCAAAAATAAAAAATCTTAGTTTAATACTACTTACGGTATCAGCTGTCGGCACGAACTTTTTAAGGAGGCACAAGAACAGGAAACTAGTTTTACAGTACACAGACTGGGTCACCAGGATTCAACAGCTCAGAGTTTAATCGTGCCTCCAGAACTCCCACACATTATAGTGATGACGGAAGAAGAGAGTTTGGGTTATCGAATCCTCATTTCCCAGAGTGAAGCCCCGGGCCCTGTGTCCCACGTGTTGCTGTCATGTCTGCAGTCCCTGGTGGAAGCTGGGTGGCAATAGGAAATAATGGCAAGGGTTTCACCCCTCTCTTGAGGGGCTCACGCAGGACTAGGGGAGGGAATTTCCTGTTCACTTCGGTAGATAAACGGCCTCTTGAAAGTAGGAGCTTGCCCCAGGCTTTGTAAGGGGGATGTAAAAGCGTACCTGTCTTTGCGGTAGCCGTTGCTTACCAGGAAAAGTCCAGGAAAGCGGGAGGTGTTGGGCTCCCTTCAGTTCCCGCTCCGGATGGGTTCCAGCTCCCTTCCCAGGAGAGGGCTCAGTGCCTCAGGCTGTGGGATATCCCATGGCAGGAATACTGCCCCGGGAAGCCAGGCTGGGGCAGAGAAGAGACCGCAGAGTTCCTGGGACCTGGGGGAGCAGGAGAAACTATTTTTTGCCGTCATCTTTTAAAGCTAAATATAACTGGCAAAAATACAGGAACAGCCTGAAGCTGAGAAATGGAACCCAGGTTCCTCTCTGCCCAGGTGCAAAACCCATGGGACAACCTAAATTTCACCTGTGCTGTGTGTTGACTTCTGGCTAACCCTAGGTTCTCTGCCACTCAGGGTCTCACCTGTGGTGTCCCAGTTGCTCACACTGGGGCAGGACCAGGCACGTACCGGCTGGAAACGTTACGGACCACCCAGTTAGCGGAGGTGTGAGCAGAGATTTCGGGGGGGTCAAAATCTTGTATGCTTGAGTGCCTCGATCATGACTTAGTCTTTACAGGTACAACACTGAGACCTCTGATACGGCAGTAATGTCCTGGGGCTCGAGGGGAGGGAAACCAGTCGTCTTAGTCACCCGTTGATAGATGTCACACCCTAAGCGGTTCTTTCAATTAACGTGACATTTGCAGGTAGCAAAATCTCTTTAATTTAGTACAAATCATTAGTATAGTGTAAGAATGTAAGTAACATTACACCAGTAGTACAGTCAACTGTCTTTTACAGACTAGCGAAGGAGAATGAGAGGAGGATGGAAAATGTTTCAAGTGAAATGGTTTAGAAGGGAAGTAGTCGTGAGCTGTCCTGCGTTATCCCTTGTTCTAAGAACATAGTACGTGACTGGTTTTAATGCAGAGCGTATCCCCTAGTTCTTGCTCTGCTGCAGGCGTTGAAAGTGCCATTTGCCATGTCCCAGTTCTGTCAGTCATTGTGCTGGGAGCTGTTGGCACTCTCTCATCCCTGGCTGAGGGTCAGTCCGCGCTGAAACTAATACAACCTGAAGTAGTATGACACAATTATCCTTTTGTGGTGTTAAAATTGCTGGCTTCTCAGCATTACAGTCATGCTTTCTGACTGCAGAGTGTAATCACCTGGAAAAACGGGAGGGAAAACAAGGTCGGGAGAACCTCTGGGCAGTTACGACAGGAGGAGGAAAGTCCTTGTTTCTCCAGGATCCCTACAAGCAAAAATGGCAAAATGTGGCGTCGGTGATGGCACAGAGACATCTGCGCACAGCTCCTCTCCTGCTGCCTTGAAATGCCACGCTGGAGCAGATCAAAGTGCTTATGGTTCCCTGCCGTATCCCCAGCTCAGTCCAGTGCACAGGTGTCCTTGGGTGTTCCTTTTAGTCTTCTGGTGCTTCTCTTCTGAACCTGTGCAATGGAGATCATGTTTTCTGTGTCTCTTCCCTGGCTCTCTGCTACGTTGCTGTCTTACGCAGCGCGTGGCGTGATGTGTTCCCCGCCCCAGAAGCAATTGGTAGGTCTGATAGTGTTTTATTGCTGGTAGCTAATACAGTCTGTCCTGGTTTGGATTTAATACTCTTTTAAAAAATACCTAAGGACAACAATTATAGTAGGACAAATGTCTATTTCCCTTCTTTCATTTCATTAAATGTTAGCATTTGCATGGTATTTTGGGATCCCTTCCTGCAAGCACTGTAAGTTGAAGTGAGTTTTAGTGCTAATACTTAGAATCATAGAATATCCTGGCTTGGAAGGGGCCCGCAAGGATCATGGAGTCCAACTCCTGACTCCACACAGGGCAACCTAAAAGTGAAGCCATCGATCGAAGAGCATCGTACACATTCGTGTCGAACACCGACAGGCTTGGCGTCGTGCCCGCTTCCCGGGGAGCTTGTTCCAGTGCTTCACCACCCCCTCGGTGAAAAACACACTCTCTCGCTTGTCCCCTTTTTTTGTTCTATTTTTTCCTTTTTTATTTTTTATCTTTTTTATTTTCTTTCTTCTTTATTTTCTTTCTTCTTTTTTCTTTCCTCTTTTTTTTCCTTCTTTTTTCTCTTTTTTCTTTTCTCCTTTTCTTTCTTCTTCTTTCTTTCTTCTTTCTTCTTTCTTCTTTCTTCTTTCTTCTTTCTTCTTTCTTCTTTCTTCTTTCTTCTTTCTTCTTTCTTCTTTCTTCTTTCTTCTTTCTTCTTTCTTCTTTCTTCTTTCTTCTTTCTTCTTTCTTCTTTCCTTGTTCTTTCTCTTCTTTTTTCTTCCCTTTCTCTCCTCTCCTCTCCTCTCCTCTCCTCTCCTCTCCTCTCCTCTCTTTCCTCTTTTTACTTTCTTCTCTTTTCTCTTTTTAAAAGTATTTTCT